GATAGGATAGGTGCATGACTTAATGGACGTTAAATCCTTTGTTTCGAACAAGGAGCTTGACCTATGCAGCGGTATGACGGCTTCTTTCCACTGTGTTGGTACAAAGCTAGGGATCATGGATACAGCAAAGGTATGTCGACACTCTCGAGTTTGATAAGTGCTGGAGGTACATTATCTGGTCCACCGAAATAAGATAATATTGTGTATTGTCTAAGCTTTCGTACGTCCTGAAGTTCAAACTTGACACGGGTGAGTTGATCTAGTGTGTATGGTGGTATATCCAGTCTTGAAAGGTTATTATCCACGTTAAAGGATGCGCAGAAGTACTGACTAAATATTTCTCCAGCGCGGGCCGGGTCAGTCATTATGCAGTTATCCGCTGTAACCAGTGAGATCTGGTCTTGATCCCGTTTAGTATTCCTATACTTTGAAGTGTTGATTAGTTCACGGATTCTCTACTGGCTGCAAGGGACTCTTTTTCCATCAATAATCTCTTTGTTATTACATGCCAAATGTAGAGCTTTGGTAAGCTTTGTGCTGTGCTAAGAAGGAGAAATCATTCGTTTTACGGTATGCCGTTAGCAACTTCTAGAGCTTTATGTGTTTACGTGAAATACGCATTTTGTTGACGCACAGTGGGAGCGAGTGCATCTACATAGATAAACGCTGTTTCATAGAACATCTGCGGCGGCTTGTGAGTCATCAGTAAGGAAATAACTCATTGGGCAGATCATATTAACTTGGTAAACAGACCCCAATCGATGGCTTTATATTTCCTGATATGTACTCGAAATTCGGTCGCAGCCGATGTCTGGGATCGTTTGGAATTCCTGAATGAAAAGGATACTACTTTGTGATGGCTACCAGGAAGTGCTTAATAACGTCGGTGGATGGTGATAGTATACTAGGTCTAAGATATGATTCTTTCTAGTTGGAGATCTGAGAAGTTGAACGCATGCGTGTGAATGTAGAGAAGAGATCTGATTCGTGTATTTGGCATGTACATGGCTTGAAATGCACGTTTTCTAATCCTGTTTACATATTTCGCCATGATGCCGAGAGCACAATATCCGTAACAAAGATTGTGATTTTATATATATATATATATATATATATATATATATATATATATATATATATATATATATATATATATATATATATAAACAGAATCTTTGTTACAGATATATATATGTATATATAAAATCGTTTTTAGCGCAATGTGTGCATTCACAGGATCAGTCTCCAGGTTCATGGAGGTGGCGGAGAAAGAGTTAGATGATACACAGATGGCGACTGGGTCATGGAGTGAGTGGCTTTTCTCGTCGACCAGTTCAGTGATTAAGAAGGAGCGGTTATTGGTTCGACGACGCAGAATTTTGACGAGCTCTTTTGCCTCATATGTCATTTGTAGGGCTGTTTGTTATTCATGTACTCTCCGCAGCAACTGGATTCGATTGACTTTAGTGATGAATCAGTGCTTCTACAAGATCCTTATAAAAGCTGTTTTTGTAGTGTATAATCAGTCTTCTAGAATGATGATGCATATTTCGAATATGGCTGATGCGTTTGTCTAGTGCAGCAAGGAGCGTTATGGCTTGATGAACCAGATGACAGAAATGATCAACAGCTGTGTAGGCATTGTTGGATAGGAAGAAGGTATCCCAGTCAGAATATCGGAGTATTTGACAGAATTGGTTCCAGTTTATCCCGTAGAATGCGAAGTAGGGGAGAATTGCTTGGTGGCTGTCTTGACAATGAAGGCGAGGCGTATTATTTTATGGTCACTGTCGGGGAGGTTCTCTAATACATCTGCGCGTTGGGAATACCTAAGGTAAATATCAAGTTGAATGTATTAGACGATCTAGTTGGCTTAGTAACCCATTGGGTCCAACCAACAACTCGGACAGAAGAAACCAAGACTGCGTGTATGGGCGAGGATGGCTGGGAAGACCAGTGTATCTTTGGTAAGTTGAAGTCGCTTACAATTGTGTTTTGTTTGTGTGGCATCTCAGATGAAAATTCGAAAACTGAAGTGATACGGGTAACACTCGTGATTGAGAAATTCGGCAGGTTGCAGAGACATCTAAGTGAAAGGTAAAATGAGGCTGTAACATGTACTAGTTGTGGATGTTCAAACAGTTCAGTCGTAAATGCGTTGTGTAGGTATATCATGCATCCTCCGCTTCTTCCTTTATACACGTCGGCCGGACTTGTGGAATGGACCAACTCGAAAATGGTAACAGCGCAATTCGAAGTCTTTACGGCCTAAATTGATTCCGCTACGGCCTAACTTGACTCGGAAATGTATGATAATCGTGTGAGTAGGGGTAGAATCTCAGTTGTGAACGCCGAGCCAGCTGGGGAAAGGAGAGGGCTGTGGTATCAAGTCTACATTATGCTTCACTCGGCAGTGAGCCAATCTGATCAGTTGAAGAAACTGCATAAACTACGGGAGCATATAGTTGGCTTCTGATGGATTTGCAAGGAATGGGAATGACCGCGGTTCCATTCCCAAATAAAATAAAAAAGGACTATAGAGAGAGGTCGCGTGAGGGGATGCACATGTGTGAGATGGTGTAGGAAGTGGCGTTACGCGCTTGACAAAGTCCTTCATATTATCACTGGTTTGCCATTGACTATGGCCTGATAGGGTATGATGGCTAGGAGTAACCAATAGACATTTGCTCCTGGTTTTAATCAACTCAACATATCGCTTCTTAGTGTGATTATAGGAAGGTGACTTATAAGACACATGGATTGTCGCTGTGCGTTCCCTAGTTTTATGGATTTTGTTAACGCCGGCTATCAGATGGTTCAAGCTGTCGGTAAATGGTAGGTTATCTAAAGTACTGGATTATCTGCCCTTGAGGGTCCATGGGACATTGAGTTCCGTTTGCGAACATGTTATCTGGCCGTTGATATTCATTTCTCCCTAATGCCCAACTTGTATGTTCTATGAGTCCAAATAAATTGTCTCAACGATGTGCAGACGCGGTATATCTTCTTTAACCAGCTATCGTACTGATGACTTGGTGATGTTCTCAAGAACTATAGAGCACGAGATCCCTGCCACATGATTTGAAACAGTCAATGTCTACTTTGATGCGCCTACCTAACTCACTGAGCACGTTTTTTGGCTTTTTTTCTGAGAATTCTTGATACATCTGGCTCGCTGGTGATGGATAGACTCCCGATGGACCGTTGTAGGGGCGAGTTATGGGGCATAATCAGTAGGTCAGTGAATTCGGTAAGTCGGGCTATTGTGAGTTGACTAAAAAGGATACGGTTCGCAGATCCATCAAGTAAGAAGCTGAAAATGATCGGGCAGAGATTTTCTGATATTTATCTCTTAAGCGCTTGTATTTGCAATCGACTTCAGACGTGTTGCAGCCCCCAGCACTATAGTTCTTACTGTACCCATATTATTTATGTCTGGAAAGTTAAAAACAATCGCATTTCTCAATCTAAACACGTATCTCTGATGCGACAGATTGATTAACTGTCCTGGTTTTCTCACTTGTAAGAGACCGAGTTTTCTGTTGGGTTATTGAGGTGTTCTAACGGTGCTAAATGATGTTAAAGTGGTTCAAAGATGGCCATGATTTTTTTACATTTCGGTGAAATGGGACTCTAAAGAGCTGACCCTATAGATGAGTACTGAAATGAGATCAGCGCTTGTGGTTCTTCTGGGGCCACATTTTTCGTCAGCCTTATTCGAGTTGTATAAAAAAAACACTGCCTTTCGCTTGTCGATTACGTCTAGGACTTATTGGGAATATGGTAGCTTGGAGATAGCAACGTAATGCGGTGGCTATATGAAGTTACAAGAGGCAGATGTGAAGAGAAAAAAGCACCTACTTTGGGGTCTTCACCACTTAACCTATGATAAAAATGCCAAGGAAAAAATGGGCAAATGCATAATACGCAATGAAAACCAACCGGTGTTGATTCCGCGCTGTTGGTTGGGCATGTCTGCTTAGGGCGGCACTGACCCCATAAATATCTTGAGCCGCTGACGCAAAGATATTATCAACAGATTCGAAAGGACGTAAAGAATCGTTACGACATTGTTAGCTTGTAGAGGTGTTTCAAAGACCGTACATATTAATCTCAAAACAGCGAAGGGTGAGGGCTAGTGCTGTCTATTGACCAATCTGACCTAGAACGCAAACGTTGAAGCACCCTGCATCAAATCAGGCTCTTGATCCAAAGGATGAACTAGATGTATCGGTGGCACTCGTTGCGGGGTCAGTTACAGTCACTTGCTCGCTAACCGATGAAGAAGAAGGATGAAAGGAGGATAAACGCAATAAAAAGTAAGAAAATGTTAATGATTCGGTGGGTGTGGCGTTCGCCGAGCTGGGCAGCCTGCCTTCTAACGTTTCGTCGTCAGTCAAGGTGGCATCATCAGTGTGCAAGAGGTAGCGGTTTCGTAGCATAAGCTGGTAGGCGGCAACTCGGTCAGTCTAGATCAGAACAAGTTTATTAAATTCATCGCAGGGCTCACAATCGGACAGACGGACTATTAAATGAAGAAAAAGCGCCAGACGGCCGTTACGCCTTATTTGGAGCTCACCAGTGATGTGCAAAATACTAAGTAGATCCACCATCAAGTAAGGCACAGTCTCCCCAAAAGCGGTACAAATGATGCAGATTATACTGAGAGTGGTGAAATGATATGTATGAATTTTCAGAGCAAGGAAATATGTAGATTAATAGGAGAGCGTACAACTTGGAGGATGTATAGGCAACAACCACCATTCGATAAGGGAATATGACTATCGTAGTGATAGAGCATATCAGATCAACAATAATCACTAATCAAAAGCAGGGAGATCTCTGAGCGAGGCTAAATCGACCGCTGTGTGGTACAGAGAGAAAGCAATGAAACTGTTTGCATTGCAGGTAAGGTAAAATATCACCAGAAGGCGTATGGGCACAAACGGATTACGTACGAAAAAGTAATGGTGAAGCAGAAATCAGGTGCAGGTTCTTACTGTTTTGTTCGAAAGACACTTGCAGGCTGTCAAGAAATCACCGCGCGCCATGTGATGAAGAATTTGCTCCAAAATGCGATTATTTTGATCACTCAACCGAGATTGATCAAGTACCCTGGATCATGCAGGCAAAAACGAGAAATGTTTAATTGTGATCGAAAGTGATCAGAAAATTGTACAGTACACTGTAGGCCCAACCATCTAGTGTAACGGGCCTAGATAACTCACCTGTTGAATTCGATGAATTGTTTGGTTGCGTCCATACAACGAAAAAGCTGAAAAGCAACCTAAATTTCAGACAGCGATGCGATTGATGCAAAAACCGAATCACATACGCGCCATATCCAAGACGCTGGAAAAGGGTATTCGTGTATTGTGTGCGCCAACAACTTGGCAGCCTCTCGGAACCTGTGCTTAGACAGCAGATGCCACATTGCACAAAGTATGCGCATCCTGATCGATGAAATGTACCGAAAGTTCTCTGGAGAGAAAAAAAATGAAAAACTGAAAACTAGTGTCAGAAAGTGTCACTATAATGCCCATCTATGTCGCTAGAAGAACAACCGACCACAGAAAACAGATCGATTTTGACTGTTACTGTACTTGGCGAAACTTACCTGGTGCGAGAGCTGAGCCCGTATTCAGACCCAATACTGGTTGGGTGATTCCATCGGAGGTGGAAGCCCGAAGAACTTGACAAAATCTCTGAACTCGGAGGAAGTACAACTTCCTGGTTCCGAAACTTCCAGAAGCCACTGGACTCATCCGTATATCGTCAATCAGTCAATTGAGCAACTAAGTTTGGTGCAACAAACAGAGTTGGATTAGTTAAATTCACCAGACTGAAAGAGGGGAACAGATGAAGTGACGCGGTATTTATTCGGACTATAAATATTAAGCCACAAATTTAAAAGGAATGGGAAGCAAGAAAGTATAGATTTCGTAGTTTTCATGCTGAATTACAGTTAGACAGAGGTCAAGGCCACTTTTCAACAAATAATGGATATCCCAAATACAGCAGTATACCTGGACGATGCGTTGATTATGGGCTCAGATCCGCAAGACTTAATACAGACGCTGGAAAGAGTGCTTTCGCGTCTCGAAGAAGCTGGATTCCGATTACAGGTTGAAAAATGTCAGTACCTATTAGAAAGTGTCAATTTTCTTGGGTTTATTATCCAGAAACATAGCCGGCGCACGGATAACGCAGATACTAAAGACATCAAAAAGATGAAGCCAACAGAAAAAATTGCTGAGCTTCACTCGTTAGTCATTACAGCGCTTTCCTACCAAGCCTTCAC